AAAAAAAAAATAAACAACAGCAGGTTAATAAACTCTGGGCTCAAGGTTTTGATACAGGATTGTTAAAAACTAGATTTATATCAGTGAAACAGAGTCTCAAAATATTTGTCAGATTGTCGTTTATTAGCCTCATGTGTATTTTAGTTTTATTTATTTTTATAAAAGCGCAGAGGCGTGGTAGAGTACAAATCCTCCTTAGGTCTAGTTAAGCACTGAATTCCGAAACCCTCCGCAGGCCAGATTAGAACCGGTCGCGGGTCACTGGTTGCCCACATGCGTGATATACGAACACCATATCAAGTACCTCTGCAATTAGGGGACCTGTTTCGGTAGTAAATTAAAGCTGGTATGCCTAATGCTAGAACCTTATACCTTTTCCCTTGTGTCACAACGATCAATTCCAGTAAATCACTGCAGCAGGCGTTTATTAACGACAAAAATTTGTTTTAGAAAGAAAGAGGTGAAAAGATGAAGCGAGAAGAAACGATGTACCGAGTTATCGATTATAGACTAAATATTTCCCGATGAAATAGAGAATAAGTGAATAACAGATAGAATCAACTGAACAAGTCTGAATTTATAGTGAACAAACACTGTCCTGAAGTGCAGCGACGCAGTGGTTACAATACGCTATCGGTCTTCAAAGCACTGGCTGATTCCTTTTTTCCTTCCCTTTTTAAGAGCTTCCAAGAACAATCAAGCGATGGTAAAATCTTCACCGTTTTATCACTGCGAAGTTTTTCCGAGAAGGCAATACTCACCTGATGGCATTCGGATCGTCCGTTGTAACCAGGTCATATATAACAGATCGGCTCGTTCTGTAACAGAGTGACACTTAAAGCTTACGGCTGCTTAATATTCACAGCGAACATATCAAAAGCTGAACGACATGAACCGTTCTCCTCTACAAAGAATATAGCAAGAATATCAGCCCTATCTGGACAATCGATGAAAAATCTCACTGGGATATAAGTGCTAGTACTTGGTTGTTCTCACATACACACAGTTATACCAACCTGCTCGATTCTAAGATGCTTACTTACTCCTCCTGCAAGGAAAAAAAATTGTGGTTTTCCATTCACATAATTTCACAGAGATTTTAAAGTGCTTTCACTGTACACATTACCTTCTCTGTGTTTTATTAACAGTGCGTGAGTAACACTCAGTAATCCGTCCGGTCCACCTGCTGCCTCCTATTCCTGTCAAATGGCTAATCCAACCCTTATTCCTTCAAGCACATTGCCTTGATAGTGACGGTAACGTCAGACCGGAACTGCAGTACTTCAGTAGAAAAGCGTTGCAGCTTGCTGACGCTTACCATGCATCGTTCCACAGTTCAACTGGTTATTGCTAACTTCTTAGAAAGCATGGTATTCTATATTTTACATCCACACAACAGAATCGCGTAATACAGTGGGGCTAAAAAATGTCGCTTTCACAGTCAATATGCTATGTTACTGTATTCAATTTCACCCTTTTTTCCAAATACGGATAGCTGTCTATGAGCTCAACAGACTGATTCTTGAGCCTTATTTTGATGTATGCCCATCCGTGTTTTTCATTTCACTGGGTTTTAACTTAGCAAATTCAAAATTCAATTTCATTCGCAAAAGTGGCAGATTTTGTTATACTTATGGATATCATCTGTTATTTCAGAACATTAAAAATATAACTATAAAGTCCAAATATTTTAAAAAAGCCAGATTCCGTAATAAAGATCGGAAAGCAAAAAAAACCTTTTTCAAATCACTCATTTACTGATTCCATGATCTGTACTCTTAGCCCACAACAGTGATTCCTGAGATACCATAGCAATCTCAAGAGGCAAATGGTGACATATGAAGAGCAGGAAAACAGATCAGTAAGAACTTGCTCAGGAACCAACAAGACATCACTCACTTGATCAGCTCACTAGCCCGCATTCGATATGCCTCTTTATTGTCGCGAAGAAGTGCCGCAGCATCAGCATTAACACATGACGACGGATCCGTGTCAAATGTGAAAAAAGTCCTCTGAAAATTGCAAGGCATGTAAAAGCAAACCCCAAAACTCCAGAGCGCAGCACAGTTAATTAAAACTGCAGAGCAGCTTTCTGAGACAAAACCATTAGCAAAACACAAAGCGATACTTTGAAAATAGCATAAAGTCATTTTAGTCAAAAAGCGAAGCGAAGAACTCATCCTC